TGCCCCGTATATTGCGATAGCGCCTAAAATTTGTTTCAGAATTGAGAAAAATGCGTTTAAACCCGCCACTGTGCCAGGCCGATTAACCAATAGCGGAGAAATTGGAGGCGTGACCGGCGTGAGAGCACCACTACCCTACTCGAAGCTTTTGATACTTGCGATACATTCAAAAGAGAACAATAAATATACAACTGGTTTCCGCATACGGATGTGACGTAATTGCAGACCTAGCAACATAAATTGCACCTAGGATATCGGAAAACACACCTCATACGTATGGATTTTATGAAGAATTCGTTACGTGTACTACCCGGTCTGCAATTACGGACAAGTCCGGCTGTGGGAAACAACGTGTACCTGTTCTCCGGTTCCATGCATTGCCGCATTCGGCATACGTGTGTTGAACTGTTTCGTTCGCATTTTTTCACCGGGTTCAATCTCCATAATCATCACTCGTAAATTCGTACCACCCAAATCCATAGCGACGAATTTGCCGCGTTCTAAATATATCGATCCAGGTAAACGGAATCATCGAAATATAAATTTTAAGAAACGAAAGGCTTCTTCGGAAATTTCCGAGACATGGCTGTCAACTGAATGATGCGGGTGGACGAACCTGTACCATCCGGTAACTCGGGCACGAAAGAAGGCAACATGGCGATAGTTGACTTCTAAAATACCGACATAGATACATACATATGTACTGACATAAATAGGCCAAAGTTAAGGGCTTAGTCAGTTATTCGATTTAGCTGTGTTAGTGCTTGACATCCAACTTGCGCACTTCAGAGCAGGGACTGTCGCATATGCGCGACCGCAGTCAACACGTTTCAGAAATTTTATGACCTCTGACGTTTAGGAGGGTCTCGATACGACCCCCACCACTAAAAACGGGGGAGGGGTGGTATGAAACGGAAAATCCTCCACTTTTTTTCGTACTTTTGCTTCTTTTCCTAAATTGTTCCCCAAATCCTCAAAAAACCTATCATACGAACACGACCCTCTCTCCAGCCACAACCTCTTCAACTTCAACAGCACGACTCCCTTTGCTCCACTTTTAACCTTCTCAACCCCAAATATGACCTACCCCTAATAAAAACACTCAAGTACGGCCCCTTTGTTTAGAATGCACAACACACGGTTGACCCTATTTGTGAGCTAATGGTCAATGAACAGCTCTATTTATCTATCAAACTTATATGTACATCCATCTAAGGCTATTGGCTTGGTGTATATGGGAATTCCTTTGTTCAGACTCCTGCACGTGCCATCAACATTTGCTTTTTGGGAAGAAATCAGAAAAATTAACTACAAATAATTTAAAAAACATAGGTCAATGAAAAATCGCTTTGTGTAACCGAACAGAGAAGCTTTCTGAAAGAATGTTCATTATATTCAAAACTCCAGGCCCTCTCCTCTCATAATAAAAGCGCGAGACTTATAAAAAAGCTGACTCACCCTCTTGGTTAGATGGATGATGGGTGAGAGGCAAAAGCAATATAATCCCTAAAGTTGTTATAACCTGGATTGTGACCAATGCTTCGAGGTTCACAGAAAAAGTCATTGGGACGTCCTATGCGTATTTGATCGGTTAGTCGAACATCTTGGATGGCCATCGGGATTTCGAATCAATGGCTTCTGTACAGGAGAGAAAAACTATAGTTTTTTTTTTTTGCCTCATGATGCTACAAACTATTTTAACAATATTATCTAATTACTTAAAAATTGAACTAACTGAAGAAAATTCTTATCTGTATTTATATTATATCTTATCTGATCAAATTCTGAAAACTGACTTGTAATCCGCTTTCAAGCCCTCGGTCCATGTTGTCACTCATATGTGACATCATTCGTCGAAGTGTGTTATTGGGAGAGTTTAAACTCAGCCATCACCGACTCCAGCTGAAATTCCAATCGATCCTAGGAAATATTTGAAAAAAATGGGTGATATGCTCACCAAGTCGGGAAAATTCCACAATCAAATTCGACTGGGTTTTTACTAAACACACACGCATAACTCCTAATAAACATACGGAAATGAACTCGTGCTCGCCGAGACGAGCTTTGCCGGCCACTTTTTTGATATCTTTCTTGATACTTTTCTTCTCCTTGTCTTCATGTTGATGCCGTCTTTTATGATCCCACGCCCTAAATCGATTGCTATTGATTTTTAGATAATGCAGTAGTTATGGTATAATATGTAGTATGGGTAATGCGGTGGAACGATATTTCTCTAGGCTGTAAATCACTCCGATATATCAGGCCATGAGCGCGCCATAGCGCCCAAGAATGGCCTGCTCCACCTGATCGTTCTTTGTGCTGATTAAACAACAGCAGCCAGTGTTTACACAAGGGATTTGAAAAAATACGGCAAATAAATTTGATTAAGTGCTGGTAACAAACAAATATCAACAACCATCAACTCATCTAACAAGCAACAAATATTTTCACCAATATTCCATGAAGGAACCAAAAGGTGGAGGACCTAGCAAGCTAAACTGCTAAGTAAGGTACAGTCATAAAACCCCATACTTTGGATTGACGTTCGAAGACGGTACATATCTGGGAAGAAAAAGGACCACATTGATGAGAGCTCACTGTTAATAAAGGATAAAGCATTTGCCGTTGATCAATCCCGTTTTGGGATGCGGCACGCATTCTACTTCCATTTGTACATTCGCAGTGGCATTTGAATGCGATGTGGCCTATACAATGACTTGCGGGGGCCAGCCGATGTACAAGTCAGTTTTTATCCTCCCAGACAAGTACCAATTAACCGACCCCGGAGGGATGGAAGGCTTGGTTGGCCCGGGCGACTCACGACCCAGGACTTGATCCCCGACCGCGCGTAAGGTAAAGTCCCACTTGCCACTACACCATACCCGCCCTCTATTAGTTACACGGACCTCTTGACCAATTATCCTTGGGAGCAGCTGGACCCTTTTCTTAGGGAAAACAACCGGTGTTAAAATGAACCATTCCAGGATTTGATTTCACAACCATGAGTGTGGTAAACGATAACACTTGCCACTGCACCACCATTGCCAAAAAGGACCGAATAAGGATACAAAGAAACGCTGCGATTAATTCGGTCACATTTTGGAATGAGCCGCGCATTCGCCATCAATTCAAAATCGTCGGATCACTCCAATGGACATTTTGCCTACAGAGCAGCTTGGGCTTTC